TGTTTCCCATTCCTGCAGTTGATGGAGGCTGGGACGAATGGAGCGAATGGACCCTTTGTAACAGCCAGTGTGAGAGGCAGCGGAGCCGGGAATGCAACTCCCCAGCACCAAGGCACCGTGGCAAGATGTGTGAAGGGAACAGTCAGACCACTGAGAACTGCACAGATGGACTGTGTACCCAGAGTAAGGCCTTTCTCCCTGCTGGGTATCATCATCATTATCATTCTCATAATTTTCCTATCAATCTCATTATCATATATACACTCACATTAACATGACATCGATGCCTGGTGCATGAAAATGTCAGCATTCTTTCTCCTGTGTACTGCTAATTTGACATACTGTGTCATACTGAATCTGTCACAGGGTAACAAGTGCAGATATTCACTCTTGAATGATGCTTGATGTTTGGAATAAAATATCATTGCCCTGTTTGGGCCATGCACATGAAATGACTTAAAATTATGAATGCTTTACTCAACTACTGTGAACACTGGTATGAATAATGAATACAGTATAGGGCTGAATGATGAATTGTTAAATTAAAAGTATGATTTGAAGGAGTGCAATTTTCCAATCACAAGAGGCACATTTTTACTTGCAGCTTACATTAATGCCTGAATGGGCTATAAATGTATGCAGCTAATTAATTTTAATTAAAGAGTGAAAATACCACTCTATCATTTTGATTTTTGAAAAGAAAAGAGTGCAAAATCAGAGTGGTGAGTCAATTTCTACATTCAGATAATAGCATTGAATGCAGCTCAGAAGTTGGCAAGTATGTGTGACGGCACTTCGAAAGTGAATTGTTTTCAGCTCTCCCATTTAAACACTTAAGCACCTCATGCCATTTACTGTATAGATTTACACTTGTAATCAAACTGCTCCGTGAACTAGCTTGTCTTATTAATGAGACTAAAGCCATGTCTACACTGCAAGCATAGCGTGGGCAATATGTAACACTTGGTGTGTGGCTCACGAGAGGCTCACACTTGTGTCAACACTGGGCACGTGTTCACTCATGCATTGGGTGTACAAAAGGTGCACGGAGGAGGCTACATAAACACATCTGAAAAGGGAAAAGCATGGTCCAAAACTATGAAAAATAGGAAACAATGAGGGAATTACTGGCTACTGTAAAATGTACACTATATCCAACCCATGATAACAGCAAATTAATACTACACACACTTTAAAAAGAACTGCATATTCAGTAGGATTGATGTAACAGCTCCAAAAAATAGACTTGAAGTGTAAAAAATATACTTCAGGTCGCAAGCTTTGTGTGTAAATCGTGGGTACATGTGAGCTGACACAAGGGCTGTGTAGGCACCTGGACAGGCAAATATAGGAGCGTGTCGGTTGCATGACAAGTGCGTCTTCATGCTCTATCAAAAATGAGGCTAAATCACTTGCGGTGTAGACACAGCTAAACATTAGCTTAGCAGCTACAGTGTAGTGCTGCCATCCATCCATCAATCCATCCATTTTATACCGCTTATCCGGGGTCGGGTCGCAGTGGCAGCAAGTTCAGTAAGGTAGCCAAGATGTCCCTCTTCCTGGTGATGCGTTCCAGCTCCTCTGGCAGGATTCCGAGGTGTCCCCAGGCCAGATGAGATATATAATCTCTCCAGAGTGTAGTGCTGCCATCAATATGATTAAGGATTGTCAGTCAGACAATGTAACATTGTAGACTTGGTAACAGTTTGTCATTATAGCCATAAATGCAAACATCTGCAGCTGTTCTGAGTACATATAACCTCACTTAAAAATATAATGATTTTTTTTAAACTACTAGAGATGTCATGTTAGCTAAACTAACAGTTTTTTATAGAAAAAATAGCCAATTTACATTTTTTTCTCAAATTAGCTTGAACTAGCTTAGCTCAACTGCACAAACACAACTGCATTATTTTATCTTTTTTATGTAGAAGTGTATGCTTTTTGTTATTTATGTAGACCACCAAGAGTTTAATTTTAATTTATAGAAAATAATCACACATTAAATCACAGTCCATATATTGTTTAGAAAAAAAAACATCTAATTTTGTCATCAAGTTGTTCAGCATTACTAGAATCCTCCTGTGATTATAATGTTCATTTTCCAGTCCCTAAAATATATTGTAACTTTTTCCTAAATAAATTATACTTGTTTTTTGAACTTGTGTTAGGAAATGATTAGCCAACTCAGGCATTTCAAAGCCTGTGAGCAGGTTGCACCTCACCACCTTTTTCTGTGGTGATATGAGGACAGTAATGATGCCTGCCTGGCCATTATCAGATACTGTATATCATCCATGAGCACAGTCAGCAGAAGAGTTTCTCTCCATTGAGGGTTTTGGATCTGAGACCACTCTTGTTAGTTGCTTCACATAGGCTCGGGCTTTAATCACCACTTTCTCTCCTCTTTGTCTCACTCTATCTCTCTGTCTTTGCAGATCGAAAGCTGCTACATGACGTTAAACCTCAAAGTGAGTCTTCCTCTGTGGATTTCTTTCATCTTCAAGTCCCAGCCCCCACCTGCCACTAATATGTAATGCCCTGAATTCTGGGGGGAGGGGATTATATATTTTAATTTTAACGTTAGAAGAAGAAGTGGCAGTCGTTTGCATTGTCTCAGTACATGCTGTGGAAACAGAAACATCAGGAATTACCACCATTTAGTTCACCTTGATCTGAGCAGCTCCTGTTTTAACCCAGCAAAAGTTCATTATGCATTCATGTCATTATTCAGTGCCTGACTTTTATGACAACCATGACATCACAGCTGTGTTTCTACTTTGAGCCAAGAAATATATTGGTTGTGACAAGTGAACATGTGCTATGTTGTGAAGGATTAATGGGTTGTAATCACTGCAAACAAGCTAATTTGACCAATTTATGGTGCTGTCCTCACATTCTTTTAATGGCTTTCAGTCACTTGCTGGAGTAGACCTGGCTAAATGATTGTCAGGTGCTAGCTTGAGTGCTTTCATTAGCCTGCCACTTTAGTGTAAAAGTCATGCCTAGTGCCTTCTTTGCAGGCTTTAAGGAAAGCTTGAATGATTGGAGGGCATTAAGCTAATGTCTGCTAAGCAGTCACCCTGGTAGGAATACTCTAAATTAATTTGCCTTTGATTGGTCCTTGCGACAACTGGTAACCACTGGCTACACTGCATGGGCTCAGAGTGCCTTCACTGTGAGATATCCATCATAGCTATTGGATATAGACCGGTGGGTCTAAAGGCAGTTAGGCTAATCACCCTGCATGTTAGGAGCTTGAATGTGATCTGTAACAGTCTATAGTAATGGCTGGACATGTTCCTGTGTATAATGTAGCATCGAGAGGAAAGACAGATGATCTGCTCCATCTTACCACTTACCATCCTTCTCATCTCATTTCCATGCTGGAGTCGTTACACCTTGTAACGCTTGCCTGCATTTGACCTTGAATATCTACATAATAACAGTTTTGTCTTCACTACTTTTCTCACTTCTCCTCTCACTGTGTCTGAGTCTTTATTAATACAAAGCTCTTTTATGTGCAACACTTCACTTTTTGGCAAAAAAAGAATTGACCAGTTGCTTTACAAATTTCAGAAGAACATATTTATCTACCATAAATTCATAAACAGTGACGGGGGCCTTTATTTGCCTCACTGGCAGGTAGAACCAGCGCTTCATTTAGGCTTATATTAGTTTTGTTTCTAACTTCTAGACAATGCAAGTTTAAAACTTCGACATGTTTACCTGCTGTCTTGATGAATTCATCAGCAGTTATGCCAAGAGAACAGCAAAAGTTGTGTCATGAGTTCCATTTTGCCTTTTTTCCCCAACTGATGTACATAAATGAAACTGAACATTTTATCCAAAACTTTCACATTGTTCCCTTATAGGTAGGCTACTAATGTGGGAAAAATATGAGGAAGTATTTGGTTTTGCTGACAATTGATCAAAAGAACACTTCACCGGGTCAGCAGTCAAATTACCCACAGTGCAACCTGACCACCAGCAGTTATGAAAATGTTTTCATTTACAAAATTGTAGTCTTCAGACCCAGTGGTGACTCAAATCACATCACAGGCAAATTATCAGATTTTGCACAGGTCCCTCTGGTGCCACAAATGATCTTCTACAACTTTTTCACATAGACAGTAGTGCTCCCGAACATCTACTAACACACTTTGAAGTGTGTTTAACATCAGTCAGGATAAAGGCAATGTCATATCAACTGGACGTATTAGAGTATGAATGGTATTAAATTAGTGTTTTGGAAACAGGCACTATATTAAACTTTTATTGTTTTTATTTACCCAGCTTTTATTACCAACTGGCCTTTGTTTGTTCATTCTAGCCTGGCTGTTATTTAAGACTTATTATTTAATATGATTTAATATAACTTATTTAATATGACATTTTACAGTAGCTCTGTTTTCATGTGTCTTGTGTGGACCAGGTATGGACAGCTCCAATGATGTAGCTCTGTACTCGGGTCTTGGAGCTGGCATCATTGCCGTGGCAATCCTTGTAGTGGCTGTTATGCTGTACAGGAAGAACCACAGCGAGTATGGCGTGGATGTCATCGACTCCTCTGCGCTCACCGGGGGTTTCCAGTCTTTCAACTTCAAGACCACCAGACAAGGTAAGAAAGAGTGCCGTCAACTCCACGCTGACATGCACCAATGACCACAAGGCCAAAAATGCAACATCATCAAAGACCTCTGCGACAGGGCCACCCCAGTGATTTATGGAATTTGTTTGCATTGAGCAGCGTGGCGTGCAGTCACCCTATCCGCTTAGGATTTATGCCTCTATAATCAGTGAAAGGATTTGTCCTTTGGTTTTGACAGACGTTCCCCTCTGTTATTGTGAAGCAGGAGATAATCAATCTCTGATAGACACTGATGACGCGCCCACCCATGCACCCCTCCCCATGGACCACACATTTGACTGTCAGGCAACCAATCTCCTCCATCAGATTACACTGGCTAAAGCCACTGATGGATTAATGTGAGGTATGGAACAGTGAACATCAATTCAATTTTTGTTGTGCACAGCAGTAACTTCTGTTGGATGTGTGACTGTGGCCAGCCTCACTACAGGCATTCATATTACTGTCACTGACACTTCTGGGTTAGTGCAAGTGATGGCCATCGTGGCAAAGGGTGATCCATCCTCGCCGCTGTGGTGACAGCACTGTCAGAAGCCCTGCTGGAGCTCACACTGTGCCCCTGGCTCCCCCAAGGCCTGTGGAGTCGGTCAAGCCACACCCTTCATGTCATGATCGGAAGGATGTGAGGAAAATGAGGAGGTTTGGAGGAGGTATGAGCGTAGTCTACATTCAGTAGGTCATCAATCCTTTTTATATAGGCCACCTCTCCCTGTTGCCTGCCTGCTGTGCCCTCCACCGGCCATAGCCACTCCTTTCCATTTTCCTTTCTCTCAGCCAGGCCAAGGCGCCCTGCAAAATTTTCTCCTCTCTCTGCTTACGGCAGTCCCAATTTGTTTAGGAAGAGGTTGTTGGGGCGTTTTATATTAGCCCATTTCTGCCATGATTATATTGTTAACATTTCACCATCCTTTTCATAAACACAGTAGGAAATTAAACACTTCCTCCCGGGGAGCCCACCTCTATAAGTGGGTGTTTAATTGCAATTTAGTGTCTTTTCATACCTAATAATCACTACAAAGAAGAAAAAAAAACACCTTAAATACTTAAATGCTTTCGGATGGCTCTCTGCTGCTGGAGTGGCTGTAATGCAGAGTGCCGAATAAGTCTTTCAACCAGACCCTGTCTCTCCGCATTACTTCTCCTTCTGAGCGATTTTTAATCAGAGCCCCAATTCCAAACCTATCCCTCAAGGTATTCAACCTGAGGTACATTTCATTAACTTCTCTCATCTCGCCACTGCCATTCCATTTTCGCCACGCCATTCTTAAAGATGCACACTCAAGCGATAATCAGATCATTCTCCACTCGACCGGAGGGGAGAAAATTTAGCAGTGATCGAATGTCAGCTGCAGAGGGGTAATGTCTACTGGGCTGCTGTTGTGACCAAAAGCTGAAATATCCACAGAGTCACCCGTACGTTCACTGTCATGATTAGACTCTTATGAAAAATACATTGTTTCATTTTTCATGGAGGTGTATTTATGGAATATTATCTTTGTAAGAATTACCTGGAAATGTTATCATATCTGCTCATGCATTGTGTCATTCATAATGCAGGTGCAGTCTTGGAGTATGATGACCTAGTACATGTGCAATATCAAAAATGATACAGATTCAATCCCTGTAACAGTATTAATATTGAATATTGAAAAAAAAAACTACATACCTAGAAAGCTACACACTGTTAAGACTGAAATTGTTAGAGGAAGGATGTATTTGTTTGATTGACAGAAAATTAATTAACTACATGTGTATTTCATACACTGATAAGTCATTTAGGGCCAAACCTGGGCTGCACAGATGCTTCTCAAAAGGGAGGACTTCTCAGTTTCATGTCAGTGTAAACTAAATAAGCTGGTCTAAACAAGGCATTTGAAAACATCGCCTTCAACTCTGGAAAAGTGTGGAAAAGTGTGACAGACACCTTGAATTACTGTGTAAAACAATGCTTACAATATGACTAAACTTCACTTTACTTTTTTGTTCTGGATCAACTACAAAGATTGAATTTGTTCTATGTACAGTACAGTAGATATAGACATACAGTAGATGTTTGAATCACTTTTAAGTGTAATCCACTAAAAAAGACTAAGGTACAGTGAAACTTTTTACATAAATGTACGTTGCCCGCTAAAATAATGTTGTTGGAGTTGTTGACTGAACATGATTTAGTGAAGTGTGCTCTTTTTGTAAGGGCAGCACTTTGTGTTTAAAAGTCCAAATTTAGCAAGTAACATTTGCCCTTTTTAATGATGTTTGCTCATTGAAACTGTAGTAAAAAATGTATTAAACTTAGTGATGAATTGATTAATCAAAATACAGTGAACAGATAATAAAAATAATGATTAGTTAGTGTTACCCACTATGAGCCACAAGCAGCAGCACAATTACTAGCACGTGGTTAATTTTTGTTTTCTTCAGCATCCTGCTGTGACAATAATTCTGTAGGAAGAAAGAAGACAACAGGACAAGTTGAGTTTTTGAAGGAGTCAGTACCAACACACCCCAAAACCCTCATCACAAATCATGCCCCCAGTAATTAACAATTTCCCTAAAAATAAAACAACATTAGCCTCCCACCTTGCACCCCTCACCAGGCAACAGCTGGCCAGCAAGGACTCACTGACTTCACCGTTAACTTGGCATGGCTCATTCAGGGGCACTGCACGTCTGAGTCTGCCAGATCAATGCGGTGCACTCCTCGTGACATCCAATGGCCACAGATGAAGACCCCATCCACTGGCTGTTGGGTCTACACCGTGAGCTCAAGGACTCCCCTGATTTACAAAGCAGTCACCTAGACCCCTCCTGGCTCTCCCTGCTGTCCTTCAGGAGGACAACTCAGTGTCCAGACGAGCTGACTCCAGCAGATGGATTATGGAGATCAAGCTGTGTGTGTACTTGATAATTAAATCTAACACTCTGACCGTGGCTCAGAGCCCTGCACCTTCTGTCCAGGTTGTGGCCCCCTTACCTCTGATGCACTGGTCGCATGCCCGGGTATGTCATTTTAATTGGTGCCGGAGCTTCACTGGTCAACAGCGGGAAACTGCAATAGAAGGAGCCCAGAGATGTGTCTCTTAAAGCTGATTTGAACCATATTAATGGGACCTGGGGGTATTTGGGGATTTGTATTGTGGACATTAAAGGTGATTTTAACCTCAAATCTGCTAGGTCTGCTTTTTTAAAATAACAACTCTCCTGAACATAATGTACTGCAGACAAATCTCCTGATAATATGATTTACCCAAGCTGAGTGGCACATTTTCTCTCTTCTTTTATCCTTTTTCTGTCATCAACAGTTAAGGAATTTGTCATGTTTCTCAGCTTCTAAACCTTAACCTTTCCGCTATTGCTTTGCTAAATCAGAAAATTATAAAAAAGAAAGGAAAAAACAACTACAATCTTGACCTTATTTAGTTGTCTCTGGGACACCAGTAAATTTCATTATCCCATGTGAGTGCTGTTCAGGCAAAACAGGCTTTAATTCATTAATTAAATGAGTTTCCCATGTAATGCGAGTCCCATGCAAGCAGGGCTTTCAGATGACTGTGGTTGTGGTACTGTATGTCTCCATCTCTGTAGGCAACCCGCTGCTTCTCAACTCCTCAATGCACCCTGACTTAACAGTGGGACGGACGTACAGCACTCCCCTCTGCTTCCAGGACAGCACAGACAAAGAGCTCTTTGACCCCCTGCCAGACATCAAGGTCAAAGTTCAGAGCTCCTTTATGGTTTCACTAGGTGTGGCCGAGCGTGCAGAGTTCCACGCCAAAGCCCCTGCTGAGACCTTCCCACGGGACCTAAGCCAGGACTACTGCAGCACAGTGGACAGACGCAAAAAGGGCCTGCTTGCCCTCAATGGGCCATTCAACACTGGCAAAGAGGAGCTGAGGACCACGGGCGTGTTTGGCCACCCCGGGGGACGGCTGGTGGTGCCAAACACCGGTAAGCTTTACAGGAAGTAGATAAAAGCTCTCACTTAGTTTGTTAGTACATGAAGCACTGCCACAATCGAACTTATAATTGTTAATGAAAAGCAGTTCACGCATTGTGCTCTTGGTTTCCATAATGTGACAGTAGGCATCCTAAGCCAGTGATGTTTAGTAATAAGGTGCATCTTCACCAGAAAGGCTCACAAGACAACTGACACCAAACATTTTCCACTAGTGTTCTTTTTCACTTTCATGCTGCTTGTTTTTGTCATAAACAGTCTGGTGCATCTGCAGTCACAGGCGGTACAGTTATTCTTTGTTCTGTCGCCACACAAAAAAGTGGTGCGGTAAACTTTACTTATCTCTAGACTGTTTGACTGATCCAAATCAGTGGCTTCCAGGGAAGGGATGATAGCGCAGATTAGAACTTTATTGCTATATTCTACCAAAGTGGAAAAACTGTCTTTAGCTCGCCAAAACATAAAAGCAGCATATGAATGTCTAAAACATAAAACTAATATGTTAACATGACATGAATGTATAAAACACAATACAATAGTAAAACTAAAATAATTTAAAAAATGGCTTTATATCTCACTTTTTTAGTTTAAAATGTACAGACTTCTTAAAACACTTTTGGATTGCCAGAGGCACTGTATGGGACCAGCCAGAGTTCAGGGTCGGAGACTGAGGGAAAAAAGATGAGAGCTGTCAGGATGCCCATGGCTTTATCTCTTCTCCTGACAAATACTGTATTCAGCTTCAGCTGAGGTTATCCAATTACTGTGTAGTCCATGTCCTAGCAAGCCTGTTCCTGAGGCTGTAGTTCAGGTGAGCACAGTGTCAAGCAGAACTTCTGTAATGTTTTGTAAACATTGACTAACTGAAGTCTCCTAAGAAAATGATGACTTTTGAGCATTTCATGAAAATATTAATACTAATAATTAGTACTTTCTGAGTCAAGGGCCATGTTTTCCAAAAGCATGGTAAGGCTAAGATAATCTTCAAATCCATTCCCCTAAAGCACTGTCAGTGAGAACATTCTTAGAAAGCTTCGTAGATTAATGTCCCTCCTACCCACTTGTAGAAAGGTGTGATTTGCATGTCAGATTGCTCTGGAACCTGCAGGAGGAACCACAGACTACATGTTTTGTCAAGTAACGTTTTAACTGAGGATTTGCATCTGTCGGAACTTGTTACCAGAATTCACCAGTAACATGTCATGCAAAGCAGAAGCCCAAAAGTCAGTTTGTGTATTTTAATTATTTGGGACAGCATGGCTTACAAACAGAATACACCATGTTCCGTTAAAGAGTAATCAGCAGTCATCTGACTCGCTACTCGTTTGTAAGTGAGAAACAATCTTAGAAAATATTCTTAACTGCTAAGACAGATCTCAAAAGGGGAACAGGTACATGGACTGCATCATGTACTGTAGGTTTGACAGTGCTGTGTTGTCCAGCAAAACTCTGGTACAAGCAGCCATGCTTTTAGTCTGGTTAATATTAACTTCCAGAAGAGCCTGCTTGCAAGCCGCTTGCGAGACAGAGCCTCATGTAAGGTTTTCCACGGAATAACACTTCATCTGTATAAGAAATATCATCAACGGTGGAGGAGAAATAATACTACACTGAAAAAAACCCCATTAAATTAGCCTTTTTTAAATTGTAACTATGAAATGAAATGTAGGTCAGAATATCCTCTTTTGGTTTCCTTTATTCATACCAATGATGTATTGTGTTCTCAATGCATTCGTATTTAGTCCATATTTAATATATACAATAATACAATAGATTATTCAAACCTTTTGTGCTGGAGTAGTAAGAACATATATGCACACTCTCTATATGCAACATACACTACATGCCATATATACAGAGTTAATGAAATGCAAATAAAAAAAAAACCCATTTAAATCCTTTTTTCATTAATAATAATAATAATAATAATAATTAAATAAACCGAGGTTCTCCTAATTGACCACCCTATATCTATCCTATATGTGAGACTCCCTGAAAACTATTTTTGTCTGGTACATTTCTGCTGTCAGTCAGCCTGGTGAAGACTGTGCTGTTCTCCTGCTGATAGACCTCTGTTCTGACGAGAGACTCTGCATGAAGATCAGAGTTGAAAACCCCCCATCAAGTCCTTCTTTAAGCACTAGGCCCCAAAAAAAAAGTCTCTCACTAGCAGGCAAGTGAGAGAGCTGAACTATGTATGAAGTGCAACACAAACATTGCCAAAGAGCAGAAGCACTTCTTCAGAAGACAAACGGGCTACAAATAAATCATAAATGACAACCCATGTGTGGAATTCACCAGTTTATACTTCAGTTGAAATATAATAGCCCAATAATCATCGTCATCATCAGTGTCATCATCATCATCATGCTGGCTGCTAGGCTATAGAGCACTAAAGTGACTGTATATAAAAAGAGGTGGAAGCTTGTTCCAGAAGTGATTTTACCATTTATTGGATTCCGTAAGTCTCCGTCTCTCTGAATTTCATTATAAATATAGGCTATGCACATTGGATGGTAAGGATATTAAAAATAATTATGAAAAATACATTCTTTTGCATTACCTTGTAAAACAGAGGTAATGCCACCAAATCTGGCACCAATGCCAGACGTATGAAATGTTACTCTGGACCCATGCATGTACAAACGTGTTAGTAGTGTAAGGTTTGTGCTTTGTTAGGAAGTCTCATTCATACTGTATTATATCACAACTGTTAGTACATCTTCACACTCCTTAGACACCATATGCTGAGTTCTTGCTAAAAAATCATCAGTGCTGTTGCTAAGGCAGGTAGTTGTTTGTTATTCCTCCACATCCTCACAGGCTCTCTCAGGCAAACAAGGGTCATGCTGTTGTCATGTCCCACCAACACAAATGGAGCATTTGGAGGAGGTTACATGAGCCGTTAAGGTTGTCTCGAGGTCAACAGTCTTTGCAAGTGGTTGCATTTACAGCCTTCTTTTGTTGTCCTTGGCCCGCGTGGCCGAGTGACAGGAAAGCAGTCTGCTGCAGTTGTCTTTCAGACTGCAGGTCTGAGAATCACTACTGTCAAGTACAGCACTCACACAGAATATCTGCAGGGACAGCCAGGGGTGTTGCTAGACACCAAGCTCTACTGGGGCACAATTTTCTTTCTTGAATGTTTAGTGCTTAGCCCACTATTCACCTGCCTGCTGCTACAACAACAACCACTGTAAAGGTAAAATGTAGAGATGTTAATCTTTATAAAAATATTTGTTTCAAAATACATTAAGAAAATTTTCAACATGATTTATGGCGTAAAAGTTTGGCCCTGTATTGGACATTTCTTTGCATTTCATTTTACAGTACCAACTAATTTGATTTGCATGTAGCCCCAGTTTGATTTGTCAAATTTAAGCTTTCACAACTAATAAATCTATCAATAAATCATTCATTTAAATACAAACAATCATTTTTGTAACCCATAAGGCCACATAACCTATTGATGCTCCAATTACTCTGAAATTGTTCTGTGCAGTGGATGGCTGGTCACACTCCTGTCTCCACAGACACAGACAGCTTCCTCCACACGCTCCCTTCCTTCCTCAGGTTCACCAGGTTGTTAAAAATGCACAAAACAAACAAGATTTGGACTGTGTGACAAGAGCATCTCATATGTTAGGGGTGGCTGTGGCTCACGAGGTAGGGCAGTCGTCTCCTGACCAACAAGTTGGTGGTTTGTCTCCCTGCATGTTTCAGTGTCCCTGAGCAAGACACTGAACCCCAAATTGCTCCCGGTGGCTTGACTAGCACCGTTGTGTGACAGCTTGCCATCATTGGTGGGTGAATGGTGTATCATCTCCATCTACAGGAGATAATACACCTGTAAAGCACTTTGGCCAGTGCAACTTTTTTCCATGCAGTCCAACTGATCATACTGTATGCATTGATGTACAGAGCTCTGATTTACTTCACATCTGCACCTGGTACATACTAACTAAACTAAGGTTGCCTTGTTTACCAACTCATATGTTATCGGCTATTCGTTAAAGGCAGAATGAATAGTTCACCTAAACTGCTACGTGTGATGTACAGTGTTTGCCATGATTTTTTTTTTTTCCATGCAGTCCAACTGATCATACTGTATGCATTGATGTACAGAGCTCTGATTTACTTCACATCTGCACCTGGTACATACTAACTAAACTAAGGTTGCCTTGTTTACCAACTATAGCCAGATCTCACCTCTCACCCTCATCTCTCTGAACTTCTTCCCTGTCTTGGCCTCATACAAAGAATTTTCATATGTCCATCCACAGGAGTCAATAATGTTTGAGTAAAATACTGTAAGATCACCGCCATTATTCAGAAATTCTATTTAGACCCTGTGACATACCTCAGTCCATTCTTTTCTTTTGTTTTGTGCACAATACATAGATTGCTGCATATGCACTGCAGTGCACCCCATGCTTACATGTACACAGTGGTGTACAAACCCTGACCACTGGTTCTCAGCTTGTATTTTGCTTTGACATACTGGATTAAAACAGCTAATCATTTCTTTTACCATTATTATCAATCTAAATGAATCCACTGCCAAATATAGGAGCTTTGAATGTGTGATTTTATTAGGCCACAGCAGATCAATACTGGGGCACCAGTAAAAGGGGTCTAGTGATGCCTATGGGGACAGCTACAGTATTTAATAGACTGATGCCAGTCATACACTACATAGCACTTCACTGCCGATTACTCATGCTTTTTTGTCACCTTGTGATATGGAATCAAAATAGCAGCATTCTTTACATCTTTACAGTTCACTTGACTTCTACTTTTTTTCCAAAAGATGGATTTACACAGACTACAACATCTTATATTTCCTCAGTCACCTTGGGCGGCATCTAAGTATATTGTTAGTTTTAGTTTTGTAAGCCTAGGTTTTGAGATGTGTCTCTAAGAGGTGGAGTTAAAATGAGTTGGTAGCCTAATTGGAAAATGGAATTTTAAAAAGGAGCAACATCTCAAACAGGCC